AATCCTCTTCCGTACATCCCCACCCTTACTACATTTTTGGTGCTTTTATACTTAAGAAATACCTGTTCAGCTTCAAACGCTATATAATGCAGACACCTTCAGCATCAAATGGGCCTGCATGCTGTGTAGTTTCGTTCCAGTTTTGCTTTCAGGGGAGCTTTCAGTGTACTTCACAAAAGGTGTTTAACATTGCCTTTGTGGGTTGAGATGAATTATAATAATTGCAAATTTCACGTCAATTTGAATAAATTGTTATGCAGCGAGAGCAAAGAGTGGATTTGAGGTCCTAGGCTGCTCTTTGTTTTGACTCATCTTTCTGACACGAGCTTTTCAACAACTTTCCTAAATATGAATTTGCACTTTATGCTTTTTAGCTGAAATGTCATCGTTTTGTATAAAAACAACACTGAGCTTGGCATTTAAATGCAGCCAGAGAAAAAGCCCATTTCAATTCTGTGATTTATCACTATCCATCCATCTAATTCATCGTGTGTGGCAGAGTTCTGATGGGTTTGTCCTACATGGGAGGTGAGGAGTTCAAAGACATTTTGGCAAAAGATAATCCTGTGCTCATAACTAATGGGGGCTGACACAACCTTTCAAATAAAACTATTTAATGACAATTTTAAATATTTTTACTGTGCTACCCAACCTTGGTTTATTGCCATAGATTTCAAAGGTTTCTAATACCAAAACTCTATAAAGTGTGAAACTTTAAACCTTGAAAATAGAAATAAAAACCTAGCTTGAAACTAAATGATAATCTGCAGAACCAAACTTTCCTGATAATAAAACATACAAGTCTTTATAGGTATCTTGATTATTAGCTTTGCAGATCCATAGTAGGGATGAACGGTTTTGCCAAAAATCTTATATGTGCTCCTTTTCAGACAATATTGTTATTTTACCTTGATTTTAGTTTGCACTAAACACAAGCAGGAATATATTCTTACGCCATGGTTATATTTTCTTCATGACCTTGAAGAGTTTGCTCATCTAGAGTCCAGAAGTCATAGGACTTTACTGTTGAGATGAAGATGCTTACTTTTGCATGTATCTGTGCGCTAGCTGTAACTCCCTCTACCTTTCTGTGTGGTAGAAAACCTACTTTAGGCATATTACTGCCACCTAAAGGGCTGGAGTGAGACATTTAGTGTCTTCTGTTAAATGTCACCATAATCGGAGGCCTGTGCCATTTACAGTAAAATAGAATGCCTCTAGATTTTTTTAAAATTGCAATTATTTCCCAAATGCAATTAACTGCCTAACCCTCATCCATAGTCTTTATTTTTCGTTTCCACAATAGCTTGGTTTAATTAGATTAATGATGACAACGTATTTTAACATTTTTAACTCTTGTTTGAATTTAGAATTTGCATTTAGAGCTGGGATTTAACTCCAGAGTATACTATGATTATTCAACGGCAGCTGTTGTTTGGAGTTGTTTTACTAAAGGTGCATTCACATCAAACACAGAGAATGGTGCAAATGATTTGATGTTTTTGATGTTATCCCTGTTTAAATACACAGTGAGGAGCAAATTCATGCTTGGTGATGCAAAGTGTATGTTTGGAGTGATGGCAACTGAGCATATGAGGTGATAAGAGCGAAATGGCGACTTCCTGAGCGGATGCACAGACAAGTAGAACCATGAGTAGGTGCAGTGAACGTTCTGTTTTTTTTTACGTTCAGACATCTAAGCTTGTTTGTCAAGTCGTGTCGAAGTAGCCAATCAGGTACTGGAAAAGGTTGCCGTGTAGTGTAGTATCTCTCAATGTGTGTACTTGTGTGTTCTCATGTGTTAATGAAACATGAATCAGCCTCAGCCCTAGCACTGTTCCAATTCATAAGAACACAAGACCAAGAACGGACAAAGTCCCCAGATGTTGTTCTCGCCCCTCCATTTTTACCAAGTATACATAAGAGCAGACTTGTCCGTTCTTGAGATTGATACCTGTCCCATCATGCATTGTGGCAGCAGCAGCTTCCATGGGAGCACTCACAGAGTTCAGAGTATTAAGTTAAAAGTTCTCTTTTCTGTTGCCGTTGCTCTATAAAAATATGTGTTAAGATAATCTGAGGCGAGAATATTATACTTTCAAGTGTCTTTTACTGATTTAGTGCATAAATAAAAAAAAAAGTTCAGATGTTGAGAGGACCGTGGAAACAAGTGGACCTCCGAGTCTAACCGCAGCCAGGGCTAATTTTAGCCCGTCTGCAGCAGCCCTCTATCGGCCTAGATGTGTGTGAAGTACCACTGCCTTTTTTTGCTTTATTGGGCAAAATGTTAATTTCATTTGTGTTTATCTGACTGTGTTAATTAATATTCCCCCAGTAAATGAAAAAAAACAAGAATGTATTATTATCTAGAGACTATTAATAACAGGAGGTGAAATGCAGCTCTTTTTAGTCAGAATTGCTAGTTGTTGATTTGTTGCTCTGTGGTACAGCAGCTCCTGATACTGGGTCCTGGACAGAAGTTCAGTTTGAAGCAGCCATCATCCAGACGCTACACCTGAAGCAAGTAGTGGTAATCACGAAACCAGGTGCATCTCCAGAGGCTCT